GTGTGTGTGTGTGTGTGTGTGTGTGTGTGTGGGTGTGTGTGTGTGTGTGTTATGATGCATTAGTGGGGCTCACCATTCACGTTAAGATCTAATGCAAACCACTGGCTTCCTTAAATAGCTAACATTACTACAAATGACATTGTTGAATAATGTATATAAATGTATTAAATATATTCTTATAGGACTGAGTAGGGCTGTAAGTGATGGGGTTAAAATCTGACTACTGGAGTGAATTGCAGTGAATATATATAATAGAACTGAACTGCATACAAATACTTGTTGTGGCAATTGTAAATATATCTAATTAAATAATTTTCATTATAAATGTTACAAATAGGAACCAGGGGGTTTCTAAAGACAACTCTGTCACAGTCTGTTCCTGTTTCATCACTGTAGAAAGTAATTTAAGATGTTTTAGAAACTTGTTCCTGTTGATTATTGTCTGATAAAAAACAATCTCACCTTTGCTCTGCTGACTCCGAGCACCTGTTCACTCACATATACTGACCACAGGTTACATGTGGCCTCTGTGGTGTGAGGAGGAAACTCCCAGCAGCTTCTCTGCTGGTTGTGTCCCAGTTCATGAAGTTCTCCCCACAGACCTTCGGTCCTGGCCTTGTTCAAATCAAAAAGCATTTCTGCTTCAGAAGAATGCATCATGATGGGGTAGCCTGAATGCAGCCAACCTAAAAAGACAAACACGTCCTTCAGTCAATGTTCCTGTCTTAATGAATCTCTTACTGAATGAGAAATAAACTGGTAAATCATGTTTTTAAATCTAACAATCTTCTTCACATCAAACCTCGACACTGTCCAGTTACCAAGTAACTTTGGACTGCAGAAAGTTGAATCTCTTATTTGGTGCTATAATAGAGTGTGTGAGTTTGTTGTTGATGTAATTATTCCAGTATATTTTGTTTAACCTGAATATAAAATTTCCCTTAAGAAAAAAACCTCATCTGTCATCTCATTTGTTTCTTACATGTAATACATATGTATGGATATATGTATACATGTTATTTGGAAGGATTAAAAAGTTCTCTTACCTGCAGAAATCTGCACATCAGCTACAATGCGTTCTTTCTGAATGAACTTTTGCGGTTTGGCAGCCAAATCTGCAACACCTTTCATGATGTCGTTCCAGAGATTTTCCACTTCAAGAGGGAACTCCAGTTCTCGAATAACATGTGACGGTACCGTGAGGATGATGTTCTCAAACTCAAACTCTGCCCAGGGTGCAGGAGCTTCACGTATGTAGTACCAGGCATCTGATTTTGTTACACCTGAAGTGAAACAAGATGGGACGGTTCAAAAAGCTTTGGGTGGAAGATAGATCAATCAATCAATAAGTTTATTCACTCAATTCAACAATTTTCCTCATTATAACATAAAAACACATTTTCGTTTAACACATCTTATGCATGAAGACAAAAAAACTTTTGTAAATTAATTGGCAATAATGTCTTTCTTGCTTTAAACGTAATTAAT